CTTCTGTTTTTTTTTTTTTTTTTTTTTAACACTTCTGGGTTACACTCAACTCATGTTTTTTCTCTGCAGTCATGAGGGCTAAAAACATGCTTTCTCTTTAGAAATGAAAGTTGAGATTCTCATGTACTCATATGGAGCAGGGCTTTAAGGAAAATGCTGAATAGCGAGGTACTCATGAGGTTCAGTTCAGGGGTCTCAAACTCATTCATAGTGGGGAGCATATTTTAATACGGAGATTCTTGTGAGCTGTCACCTCCACTTGCATAATATCCCTGTTCGTTTTCTGTTTAATCTAAATATGATATATTTTTAGTTTCTTTTAATACAATTTAATAATATCTCACACTTATAGAGATCTTTTCATTGAGAGCTCGCAGAAGACTTTACAAAGGGAGGTCGATATCATTATCCCCATTTTACAAATGGGGAAACTGAGACATGGAAACTGAGGCCAGTGACTTGCTCAAAGTTGCCTAGCAGGCCAGTGGCTGAGCTGAGAATGCTTGGAATTTAGAAGCTGGAAACGAGGAGAGTCCATAGGCCGCAGTTTGAGACTCTTTGTCTCAGTTTAATTAAAGGAAAAAGATATTCCTGTAAATGTGAAGCTTGCTTCTTATTGCACAGCTTACCCAGTGTCTTGTGATTTTGTTGATCCCTGTTTCCCCCTCCCTGAGTTTGCTCCCCCTATTCTTTGCTATTACAGATTGAGTTGTACCCTTTTCTGTGTTGTTTTGAGTAGTTTCCTCTCTCTTTCCCTACACTGAGTTCTGTTCTTTTGCTTCTCCCCTAGATTTCTGGTATCTTCTTCTCTCTTGCTCTGTGTCTTGTTTTCATTTATCTCCTCCTTCCCCAAACATCCTTCCTCTCACTCCCCAGACCCACATCTTCCAACATACCCACCTGTCCTGCATGTGCCCATATGCAGCCTATTCAACAGGCTCATTTCTGGTTTTCCCCCAGTTAAAGAGAAGTGGGGAGATGCCACTCTGCTGCCTCTTGTCCTAAAGATACAGGCGTGTCCCCTGGATCACAATGGTCCTGTCTTTCTAACGTCTAAAAGGAGTGGCTGCCCCTGTGTTGCTGTGATTCCACAGTTGCTCCCTTCCCTTAGCAGCCAGCCACCCCAGTCTCTGCTCCCCGACATCACTCAGCCCATTCGTGCTCACCACATCCCTACTAGCCTGGGGCAAATGGATTTTTAAATCCTGGTGAGTGAGGTAGAGATAGCAGCAATCCAATCTGTCCCCTTTGCATTATGCTGCCCACTCACACTAGACAGAAAATCAAATATAGAAAACATTGTAAAAACTTATTTTAAAATATTATAATGAAGTATCAGTTTTTTCTTGCAGAAAAGCTGAATGCCTAGAACACCTGGGATTCATAAGGAGGTGCTCATCCAAGTGCTAACTGGGCCAAGATGCCTTTAGGTTACAGAATCGTGTAAGATCAAGCAAACCAGGACCTGTAAGATTATCTGCTTTTCAGAAACCAGCCATTGTCTCAAAGAGCAACTTGCCATGAATCCCATAACTTACTGATCTCCTATTGCACATGTGCATCTCCAGTATCAGTATCTGAATTTGTTATAAAGTGAGCATTAACATTTCATAAAGTGCTTCTGTGGTGACAAGTTGAAAAGCATTTCTGTTTCAGGGTAAGGAGCTGCTTACCTCACCTCACCTCATGCATAAGATTCCATGCTGCTTAGGAAGTTTATAAAGTTGTTATATACATGGTCTCACTTATCCCTGTCTGTCCTATTGGGCAACAAACTGTACATGACTGTGGTCTGTATACTGACTAGCAGCTGTGATCTTTCGGGGCATTGCACAGTGCCCCTTTCGGACATTAAACAAACCTGCCTACTTATGCAATTTCTTCAAACATCTGTAACATAATGTTCAGACTATATTTTATTTTCGAGAAAGCACTTGGCCTCCATCTCAGAGAGGAAATGATGGAACCGCTTAAATAACACCATTTACTCCGGTCTGGCTCCACAGGCAGATCAACAAGCCTCGTGGTCAATGATATTAAAGGCTGCCCTGGGCAAAGTGATTATTGTCATTAAACATAATAGTGGCAGTTTAGGAAGTTTTTTTCCTCACGCCCTGATCCTGCAAACACTTATGGATGTGAATAGTCCCAATGATTTCAGTGGGGCTACTTGTATGTGTAAACTTAAGTGGCTGTATGGGTGTGTGTTTTGCAGTTTCTGGGCGGTAAAGGGGGTGTGATTTTTTTTCCCAAAGATGTCTAAATGATTTAGGAGCAAAAGTCCCAGTAAAAGTCATTGACCTTGTGCTCCTGAGTCACTTAGGTGCTTTTGAAAATCTCACCCTGGGCCAAAAAATGCCCTATCTAGGAATATTCAAAAGAAACGCCAGTTCTTTGCCATAGCCAGTTATGTGTCTTCAGTGTGTTGGGTGTGTTTTCCTCTTGTGGGTTTTTTTATTAATCAAACTTTTAAAGTCCACTTATTTTCCAGCCCCATCATCATTCCTAGTATGTCCCAGTGATAGATCTGTGAGATAAGCAACGATCAAAACTAATATTTCCTTTGTTAAAGTATGGCAGCAGGGGTCAAATAGAACAGCCAAAGCCAACATCTCTTCTTTCTGGATATAGACTTTGGGCTAATGGGCTATAGTATTGGACAGCAGCACCACTATGTAGTGTATGAATGGATTGGTTCATGTAGAACCTGGAGGACTTTGAACTACCCCTTCTGTTTGGTCAACTTCTCTTTACTATTTGTTTGCCTCCCTGTGTATTGTAATGACTTTAATCACAAAGCCTAAGTATCCAGCATCCATCAGAATCAGACTCTCTACTAGTATTCTTTAGAGCATTCCCATACAGGCTGGCCTAACATGGACCTGGAGAGGCCAAACCCAGGTTCCCCTTTCAAATCTTGCACATCTTGTGCTGCTGCACTGCTGTCTGATCTGTCTCACTAGGTACTTGTATGACCCCATCACCATAGTATTTGAGCACCGGTTTCATTAACAAGGGCAAGTTAATCTCAGGGCTGCAAACATCAACAAAAATGAGATGGTTCAAGTAAAGGTGATAGGACTTCAACATAAATGCCATACTATGTTTTTCTTAACTTGTGCATTAAAACTGCAGTCTGTGTGCCAAATATTACTGCTTCTGTAAGAGTGGATGAAGAGGAGTCTTGCCCATTTATGCCAGTGGCAAATTTACCACTTTGTACCTCAGTGCATTTAAAATCACCAACTGCACATGCGTATAAGTATCAAGTCTAATAGCAAAGCAGGACTTTGGCCATCTCTTCAATGGGAGAGACACTCTGTGATGTCTACACATATCACCCATGTTCAGTGCAAAGATGAATTGATGTGGTTGTGCTTAAAAACACAAAAATACTCTTAATTGCTTACGGTACTTGTGTAAACTTTGACAAACAGTCACACAGTATATCCGTTCCCCTTTAATTCACCTGTCAACACCAAAATTCAGTGTTTCCTCTTGAAGAGTTGTCAATGGCTAGATTAACTGCCAAAGCAGAGTCCTGGATGCAGATGCCTATGTTGGTTAGGTGTCAACTGATAACACACTGAACTGGGGGATTGACTGATCACAAAGTTTTTCAGATCCCTTTTAAGGTGCATTGGTGTGTTTAACTTCCATACAGATTCTCTTAATCATTTGGGGCTTTTCTTTACCTCAGAAACAGTCATTTCAGTTCACCCTTGAGATTCAGTTGTAATCACTTCCTTTAAAACAAAGAAAACTTCTAGCATCCTAATCTCTCTCTTTTCTCCCCCCCATCCCAATTAATTGCTCTCTTGCACACGCATGCACCTTTATATATCTTCCAATAGTTCCTAGAAACCCCAGTCAGGATCTGGGCCCCAGTGTGCTAGACACTGAACACTCTTAAAATATAAGACCGGGCTTAAATCTAATTAGGCAAGACAGAAAATGGCCTGTGTCTGAATGAGATTTCCTGGCATCAGGGACGGTCTAACTATATGTATGCTGCATACCCCTTGCTCTGGGAGTGCATAGTGGTTGCAGGATGATGTTGCTTAGAAGTGAGGGAGGCTCTTGAATCGCCACATAGGGTCACCTAAAATGTGTTGCGCAGAGTGGCATGTGGAAGCGTTCCAAACTCTCTCCCTCCCTTTCATTGCGTGGCTGCAAAGGGAATATTAAGTTGTTAGTTTGTTGTACTGTAAGTTTGTATTAATTTTACTGAAATAGTCAAATGCTTAAGAGTCCTCCTTGTACTGCATTATTGTAGTGTGACAGAATAGAGCTGATGCATGCCCAGTCTTTAACATTGGGTTTTCCCTTTTTGTTTCTAGAGATCCACGGCCGACGAACCAACGTGTCAACAAGCACGTCGATAATGATGTCAACCTCCGAATCCAAAACCTGACCATCTTAGTCAGAAACATCAAGATTTATTATCAGGTGTGCCTTCTGCTCTTACTGGTGTCTGCCGAGGGTTGTGGTGTTTCCGCTAGCACAGGAATTAGTAGTCTGTTAAAGAAAACTACCACAGGAAATGAAGAGGAAATTGTGTTCATGTAAAAGCATTTTCAGCCATCATTGCCAGCACTTTGAAATACAGATAGAGCTAACTTCTCTAGCCTTCATGGCCCATCAGCAGATTTTAAAAAGGAAGGAAAAAACTGAGTTGGAAGGATATGATAGCTCTTTGGTTAGCTGTGTCGATATTCAACTCTTCTACAGGATCTATGAAATAGGACTAATGTCTGAGGATATAAAACGTGTGTAAAACAAGTAGCGTTGCTTTCACCCTTAGAGACATCTTGAAATGCCAAGGAGTATTAAAATGGTCCTGTACATACATATTGTGTTTAAATAAGTCTCACGAAAGACTGACCACATCAACTCCCATTCCCAGGCTCTTCTCACCCACCTGCATCTCTTCTAGCCATATGCTGTACACTAGAGGCAGCTGGGTGGAGTGTTGCATCTCTTGAGCGTGTGGGAGAATAATGGTATTTCATTAACTTTAATTACAGTTCTGGGGCTTGATGCTACTATAGTAGAGAGAGACCCCAAAATATTCTTCCACCAATTGCTATCTGTGCTACAGAGCTTGCTAAAGAGAGTCTGAGGGGGATTCATGCAGAAGAAAGTAAAATAGAACCGATGACTTTTAAATGCAAGTTATGGCAGCATGTCAGGAGAGTAGATTGTGTAGCTTTTTGATCTGAGGTGGTGTGTTGGCATTTTATATATTTTTGAAGACAACAAACGTATGGCTCAATCATTTAGCATTGTAGGTATTGCTAGAATGGGTTGTCATTCACTTAAAAATAAATAACTGTAATTGTCCCGTTGAGTTCTCTACCCCAGCAGGGAAATCCCATTTCCTCAATCTTTCAACATAACAGGATGGGATTTCCTTGTCTGTCTTTATTATTGCTTACTCAGCACCATAGATCTGTATGAAGTTTTACAGACATCAGAAGACAGAGAGACACAAGGTGGGTGAGGTACTATTTTTATTTTTATTTTTATTTTTTTAATTGGACCAACTTTTGTTGGTGAGAGAGACAAGCTTTTGAATCACCCAGATTCTTCATCAGCTTGTCTGTCTCGCCAACAGAAGTTGGTCTTATAAAAGATTACCTCACTCACCTTGTCTCTCTAATATCCTGGGACCGACATTGCTACAACTATGCTATGTACAACATCAGAAGACGCAGTCCTTTCTCCACAAGGTTTGCAATCCAAGAGCCCAATCCTTAGTGTGCTGAGAACCCTGAACATTTAATCTCACTCATGGGAGTTCAGCACCTTGCAGCAGATCAGGCCCTTTGTTAGACAATGTACAAACAGGGGCTAGAGTCTGGGAGAAAATAAATGTGATTCAGAATTATGTGACCTAGCTTGTTTAGTGTCTCATTGGTTCTGCGCTGTTGGGTTTTTTTAATATAATCTGATCCAGCCAGGCACTACAGTAATACCTTATAACACACTTTCTTACTATTTGTAACAGATAGCAAGAGCTGTGGCTGGAGATGGGAGGCATAATAATAAGACTCTGGCCAGGTTCAAGAAAAATCTAGGCTGGGGTCAGCAACCTTTCAGAAGTGGTGTGCCGAGTCTTCATTTAGTCACTCTAATTTAAGATTTCGCATGCCGGTAATACATTTTAACGTTGTTAGAAGGTCTCTTTCTATAAGTCTATAATATATAACGAAACTATTGTTGTATGTAAAGTAAATAAGGTTTTTAAAACGTTTAAGAAGCTTCATTTAAAATTAAATTAAAATGCAGAGCCCCCCAGCCCGATGGCTAGGACCCGGACAGTGTGAGTGCCACAGAAAATCAGCTCACGTGCCACCTTTGGCACATGTGCCGTAGGTTGCCTACCCCTGATCTAGACCATTACTTTGTCAGGCCAGTGCATCTCCCTGCCTCAAGAATGCATACCCTGCATGTAAATAGCATGATAGCAAAAATTAATTAGTTTGTTCTTGAAAATGTTAAATAATAGCAAATCTAACAACAATTATATTTTTATATCTATACACTACATGTAAGGAGCTCATTTCTCCTTTATCACATCAAGATCTTTAGGGCAAATCCAAGGCCTCTTGTTAATCTAAGAGCGATTCCCTTTTAAATGACGTTGCATAACCTTCAAGTCCCAGTAGCCTGGAAGGAGTTAAGGGCAATCTGCTCAGTTCTATATATGATTGATATGCAGCGTCCCATTTCTACTAATGGTGGTTGTATTTTGGAGGATTTCTTATGTGTTAGAAGCCCAGCTAGTGTATATCATTTGAATTAAATGATGGTTGGTTGTTACAAAGTATACTCAAGGCTTCTAGAATGGATATTTTGGGATGTACTAGAGAATTTTGCCATCTAAAACTTTTCATAGTAATTATTGTGAAACATCTCCTCCTTTGAACCTTTGTTTTTTGTTGTTTTTTAAGTAGCCTGAAATTAGTTGTGTTTGTATAGTTGAGTAATCTAAGTCAATAGCTCCCAGATGAGGCTAGTGTGTTACTGACAGAAAACATCTGATCAATTTCAGTGGCAGTCTGGAAGTGGGAGGGAAGGTTCCTGACAAACAATAGAAGCACAAATTGCTGCTTCCTCAAGGGAAGCACAAGCTTAAAAACCACCATGTTGGCCTTGGGGAATTCCCTTCACTTTCACCAAATGGACTCAAATCTCGTTTACAGCTAATTCCTTGTATTTTGGGGGGGGGGGGGGGGAGCGGGAGTGTATATGGAGGGAAGTGAGGGTGATAATTCTTTTGTGTGTTATTAAACAAAGCACAAAACAAAAGCCTTCCCCCCTCCCCCCCCAAAGACCAGGAAGAATAGAAACATAAGTTCATGGTCCCCTAGTCCCTGTGTTTTGTGGAATAAGATATCAGTAGCTACTAAAATTAAACTATTTTAAGATATCACTCAAAGGCTGGATAGTTTTTTGGGGTCCATATAAATGTCTAACATAACTGTGCTCAGTATAGTTGAACTCCTTGTTAAAACAAAATTTATTTCAGTATTTGGTGACTTTCTTCTGAAAGTAGAGGTGGAAGTAAACCAGAACCCTGAACCCAAATGCCCTACCCCCCCCCCCCCCCCCCCCCCCCCCCC